TCAGCGAATCTTTTGCAACAGCTGGCTTCACATACGTTAACGCTGAAACGGCACCGTAGCTTTGTGATAAGAATTGCTCGCGATTGTTGAGCGAACATTCGTGTGGTAAACATCCTCGATTACATTCGAAATACGATATCGCAAAAATTACCGTATTAGCATTAAATAAATATTTCAGCGGATGAGAGAAAAGTAAGAAGAGAAGAGATGTATTAGTAATTCTTACTCAATTGACAATTGTAATTATTAAAGAAATGAGACAATTAATTACGAAAATAATATGGAAGTTTGGCAAAAATATTCAACTCATTCTTATCAATTACGAATTATGTTAAATTTTCTGACATTCGCTTATTTTCATTTCTAATGTGACTCTAGAATTTATGTCACAAGCTATTTTCATCGCGTCATTCCACTTTATATATCCTTCCGAGTTTCCTCCGTAGACTCTACTACAGTTCCACGAATTTATCGAGAAATCTTAGAACTGGAGCACGCTTTTTTAAAGGACTCGTGGTCTCTAACGATGAATAATAAAATAGCCTTTAAATCATTCGAAGGCATCTACTTCATGAAAGCGTTTCATAAAACGGTGAAACTTCGCGATCGCGATGTCTCACGCGCAACGATCTAATAAATCGGGGCCTCGAAAACACACTCGTAAACACAAAGTTTTCCAGCACAGAAAGAATTAGGGGATACGCAGTATTGATCTTACGAAAACAAAAAGGAAAAAAGAAAAGAGGAAAAAGAAAGCACGATACACGTAAATTGACGCTATCGATATCGGGTCTCTCGGAATGGTCCCCGCGCCGTTGGCGGGCGCGAGCGCGATCGAAATGAAATTTGTCGCGAGGTAGCCGAAACCGACGGCACGCTCGTTCTTCACGGGAACGTCTCTCGTATACACATTGTACGTTTCACGTGCCGCCGGCCTATTTGTTTTGCCGCGCCTGCAGCGGTAACCCGCCCCGCGGCAACGTCATTTCGACAATAACGTCGCGCGATCACGCGACCGAGCCGGACAGAAGAACGCGTAATTTATGCAAAATGCGAGCCGTGCGCCGCGCTGGCCGCTCCGCCGGAGTCCCACGACTGCCCGCTCTCGCTTCGTGACCGCCGCTAGTTACGCAGTGACAAAACAGCGTTCTAACAACGGCAATTGACTGCCGTTACAGTTACGGTATACGGCGACCATACGTCCCTTTCAGGTATAACTGTTTTTTATTTATCCATTCTTTTTATTTACTATTAAGTAACTATTGAGTAAATTTTTAAAATAAAATAAACAATATATATATATATATATTTTATAATTATATAATTTTAATTAAAAATATAATTATATATATGTATAATTTATCTTGTGTTAATTATATTTTTAACTCTTTTAATTAAAATTTAATTACAATTATTCAGATTAGATCCGTGTTTATTTTTTATTTCGAACCTATTCCAAATTTAAATCGAGGGTTTATTCCAACCAGTTTCCAAGCTATCATAAAAGTGTACAGTATCTTGTTTAGATATACTACATAAGGAAATTTCGTAATGCGCAGATTTCTGAGCCACAAATTAATTTGGAAACAACCTGTGATGAAACAAATAAATTGTGCAGGAACAAAATTCTAAAATTTTCAGATTTATCCTTTATTTTCTCGAAGAAAATATGGCCACCGTATACCGGCGGAAAACTTTTCCGAACATCCATCCTCCGATCCTCCTATATTTCTAATCATTATCCTGATGCAATAATCTTTATCAATTTTTTAAAATTATATTTGATAATTAGATTGAATATTTTTTATTTAATTTTTTGTACATTATATTTGTAAATTACATTATTTGGATCAATGGTGATTTGTACATTTCCGCTTCATTTCCATTTGCGATTTCGTAATTGTAAATCGACTTCTGTTTTTTAGTCTTTTTAGATATGCGCCGTGTGTATTAAATTCCGTTAAAGGATTTTTTGTTTACGAACGGATGAAATACCAGCTACTAATTTAGCATTTCTTCGTAAAAATATTGGATTCACAGCACGGCTTTTACTCCTTTGAAACGGCGGAATCGATTATCTACGTATGTAGGACGTAGTTAAATATTGTTTTTAACTTTGTAAATTTAGAAGGAGAAATTCATATTTCAATATCTTTTTTGTATTTGAATTTTTTTTTTTTAGATTGCACTTTCCTCGCGTCTTACAACTTGATATTCCATGCAGCCTCTCGGATTTTTGAATACCGCGATACTTTTACGATCAAGACCGTCGATGAAAGTCTTCCTCGTAGTCTCGGACGAGGCTTTACTTAGAGAGCGAGTATGCGAGCGAGCCCTCGGTGATATAAAGGCCTTCTCGTAAGAGCCTCCGAGATTGCGGAGGGCTTCCGTCGCGCCTCGTATAACGCGGAAATCGTTCGAAAGTTAATTTGAAATTTATTCATGGACACAGCGGGGAACCGGAGGTCGGGGGACCGGAGATCGCCTGCATACGTCCCACGAATCCTTGGACCGATTTGAATTTTCTTCCGCGAGAAATAGTCGAGACACGTTACTTGTCACGTGTTTCTAAGTTCGAGTAAATTTTCAACATTTATTTCCATTACAAATTCATAATCTTTCAAAATGAAAATTTGAAACGAACAGCCATTTGTTGAAATTAAATTGAAAGCAAAATATTATCCCTTCACACATTTGAAGCTTAATTCGCGATAATCTTTTAAGTTGTTTTCAAATATTTTAAAATTACTAAAGCTTTGTTTTGTAAATAATATAGCCATGTTTTACTAACAAAAGAATTTATTTCATATTGGTCAATGAAATATTGAGTTTAATATTTATTTTATATTCTCTTTCATTTGTTACACATTTACTTCTGTTTTG